TTATGAATTAAAATTCCTCTACAGAGATCCTTGGAATAGTGACAGCCAACACTGGACTCAGGACCTGCTGCACTCCTTAAAAAGGCATATCCTCCCTATCTCAAGTACAGTCACTGAGTGTGAAGGTAGATACATCTATTGTGCATTTCAACTAAACAGGGCAGAAAAGTAAAAAAGAACTCATTTTAAATTAAACATGAAAACACAAATTAGAACCAGTATGAGGGCACAGTTGAAAAATGTACTTGCTACTACATCTACTGACTTAAGTTTGATCCCCAAGAACTACAATGTAAAAGAAGAGAACAATGTCCTGAAAGTTATTTTTTAATCTCCATATATGGACTCGAGGCCAGCATACATACATACATATGTACACACACACACACACACACACACAGACATACACATATATATATATATAATTTAGAAAGAATTCTAATATATATTATACATGCATATATAATTTAAAATATATGTATTAGAAGAATTCTTTTAAATTTATGTTATTCTTCTGACCTATATTATATTCCAACTGCAGTTTAGCCTCCCTTCCCCCATGTCTCCACCTCTAGCACTTCCTCTCCCTCCCCCCCTCAAGACCTACCTCCTTCCCTCAGAGAAGAGCAGGCCTCTCAGGGACATCAACCAAACACTAAAACAAGCTATTACATCAAGGCTCGACCAGGCAACCCAGTAGGAGAAGAACGGTCCCACAGGAGGCAAAAAATTCAGGGACAGCCCCCATTCCCACTGTTAGGATTTCACAAGAACACCAAGCTACTCAGCCATAACATATATATAGAGAGAGGACCTAGCTTAGACCCCAACAGGCCTTCTGATGACTGCAACTTCCCATGAATCCTGGTCAGTTGATTCTGTGGGCCACGTTCTCATGGTATGTCCCTGACCCCTTTGGTTCCTCCTATCCTTCCTCCCTCTCCTCCACAGGACTCCCCGAGCTCTGCCTAGTGTTTGCGTGTGGGACACTGCATCTGCTCCCATCGGTTTCCGGATGAAGTCTCTCTCCTCTCTCTGATGATGATTTGGCTGGACTCCAGTCCGAGCACACTCTGCAGGCATGATGCTCCGTGGGTCAAAGGTTTGGTGGCTGGGTTGGTATCCCAATCACCCACTTGCTTGGTTACAGAAGGGAGCCAGCTCAGGCCCTTGTTCCCCACTGCTAGGAACCTTTTCTAGGATTACTTTCATAGATGCAATTAATGAGCTTACTAAAAAATGCCTGCAAAATACTAAAACATCAAGGAAAAATAGTCTTCCAAAAAGTACAATAATCAGAGATGCAAAGCCTGTGTTTGATTTAGGAGCTGTGAAGCTCCATGAGGATGAACTCACACATATTGTACTTTTCAATATCTCTAGTAGGCAACAGGGAAACACACTTCTAAAAAGAAAGCAGGTGTTGGAAACAGACAGACTGGGCTCGACTCCCAGACTGGTCACCTACTAGCTTATGGCACTTAACAATATACCGGGTCTGTTTTTACTTCAATTTGTAAGTATGCAGAAAGATGTCTACTACAAATAGGTGTTTAATAAATACCAAAAGTAGTAACCAGCACACATGGCTCTTCATTTGTATCAGATCCTGTTTATTTACACACCGACTTATTCAAATCTTATGAGATAGAAATTAAATTCCCAACTGAAAAGTGAGGAAACTAAACCTCAAAGAAGTGAGCAACTAGCCCAACGACACAACTAGTAAATAGTAAAATAAATTCGTGTTTCTAATTTCTAATTCACCATCATTGAGGTTGCGTGACCGGTAAGCCAATTCTAAATACTTTCCAAACTTTGCAAGGTTCTGAAGTTATATACCAAGACTCAGCAGAAGAGAATGAGGAGACCAACCGGTACCTGAACAAGAGTGTAACATGTTGGCAATTATTTTTATGTCTCTTTTTAATAAGGAATCCTTACATCTGAAGTTGTTTTAATCTTGGTGTCCTTAGGATCTTTGACCAGGTTGTTACTGCCAAACATCAGGTTACTACTTCCTCGTTTTTCTTTTTCTAACTCATTACTATGAAACATGCCTCCATCACCAGAATCTGCTGTTGTCTAAACCATAAAAATAAAATCCTAGCACCTGGCTTCCAAGAGCCATCAGAAATCAGGTAAGGCCTCAGATACCTACTTAAATCAAAGGACTATTGATACAAACAACTATATTTCATTATGCAGAAAACAGCACTTTGTGTTATTTCAAAACTGTGAGAAGTAATTTTTAATTTTAATATTTGTTTTTGGGTATGGCTTATTTTTTTTTTATTCAGAATGAGACAAGGCTCTTCAGAGAAGCATATAAATGGAAGACTATAAAAATAAATATTGCATTATTGTTAAACGATCCAATATTAATATCTAAACAAATTCCAGTAGCTTTCTAATTCCTTTCCTGAAATTAGATCCTGAACCACATAGAGAATGGCTAATGGCTAGTGATGGAAAGTCAGAAATACACTGAAAAGAAGATAAACTTCCAACAGTCTGAAAGAGTTCCTCAGACAAATCAGAATCTGCTGGTGGTTGGATGAAGAGACCGCTTTTCTTAAGTACAGGTTATGAAGGATTCACCCATCTGAATTCATGTCTCTAAGCCAAGTGCCCGAACAGTCAAAAATAACATGAATTTAAAAATTAGAAAGAGAATCAAACACTGATCTGTGGTTTGAAGACTGAGCAGCTTGCCAAATGTTAAACTGGCCCCTCTACTTGGTTTAAAGAGATGCAGGACTGTATGAGCCATTCATTAGATTTGCTTAGAGATGCAAATAATCTCTGACAAAAGCCACATCCAGATGTAGTTCTATCCAGATTATTCCTGAATGGAACTATGTGATGTCAGCTCAGGATTTCTGACGATGCCCCCAATAGGGCATAGTTCAACAGGACACAGCCCAACAGGACCTGTGGGTCATGACCCCTTTGGGACTGATCAACCCTTACACAGGGGTAGCATATTAGATATCCCATATATCAGATATTTATATTACAATTCATAATGGTAGCAAAATTACAGTTATAAAGTTGCAATAGAATAATTTTATGATGGGGGGGTCACCAGACAAGAGGAGTTGTATTAAAGGGTCGTGGCATCAGGAAGGTTGAGAACCACTGTTTTAGGACAATGGTTACTGGTCCTTCCATTGAGGAAGCTGCTCTTCTTCATTGAATATATTGACCGTGCTTTGATTTGATGGTAGTTTAGTGACTTATATAAAGTATGTCCAAAAAGAAAATCAATACCAGAAGAGTCAATGTAAGTTCGGTTGGGAAGACAAAGACATTCTACAATCTGTTGTTCATTTGAGAGCTATTTATTGAACAGCTGAAACCCATCAGCCCTAAGGGATGGAAACCTGGCTCCATTATTTTTCGGCAGTAACCATGAGTCATTTCTCATAGTTTCAACAGAAATAACTTAAAAATCCATAAGGGAGTCAAGAAAAATATTACTGGATTAAACAGAAACTCATGGGCACTCAATGGATTAATTAAAATCTCAACTGGCATGACTTCAGAGATGGCTCAGTGTGTAAAACTGCTCACACCAAGCCTGAGGTCCTGAGTTAAACCCCAATGATCCAGATAGGGGAAGAAAAACAACTCCCCCAAATCGTCGTCTTAAGTAATGCCCATGTGCACACACACTAAGCAAACAAGTGAAAAAGAAAGTCTCTAACTTGAAAATATAAGTGTCCATGTACTCAAGGGCATCTGCATTATTTCCTCCCATAATTTTGAGTATAAATTATCAGCCTAGATGTCCATCAACACATAAATGCATAAAGAAAATGCCGTGAGCCTGTAGTGTTATTTTTATTCAGCTGTAAAGAAACATGAAATTACCACATTCAAAGAAATGGGTCACTATGTTAAGCGAAATGAGCCAGACTAGAAAGACAAATAGCACATGTTCTCTTGTGAGTAGATTCTAGATTTCAATTTACACGTGTGTGTGTGTGTGTGTGTGTGTGTGTGTGTGTGTGTGTACAGAGAGACAGACAGAGAGAGAGAGGATATGAAAGTGGAAAGGGGACTGAGAGGGAGAAAGAAGTCTATCTAAAGGGAAGTGGAAGGAGGGAACAAGAGAGGCTAAAGCATATGACACAAAACAGAAAGGGAACCATTTGGGGGATGAAGGGGTAACAGGAAGAGTGAGGGGAAGGGCAGTGTAGGGAGCTAATAAGAACAGTATAATGACAAAAATGTACAAATGAAACCTAGTTTTGTGTTTTTTAAAAAAATACATTTTAAAGACAATCGGGCTTTTCTTATTTTATTCCCTAGGTTGTCCTTAAAGTAAGGGTCTTAACCAACTGCGAGTAGAAAGTGGTCACTATTATTAACAATTCTTTAACAGTTTATCACCCCTTTCAGCAACTAACCAGAGAAACAGTTCTGTGTACATTCTGCTGCGGGTGTGCCAAGCACAACCACAGAACATGGGGGCGCCTCACTACTCCCTCCAAAGCTACTCCCCCTTAGAAGTGGGGAAAGGACTTAGAACGTGCATTTAGAGGTTAAATGGTGCATGTTTTACTTAAGAAAACAGAAAATAAAAATATTCTTAAAATTCCCGAGAAACAGCTGACGCAGACATTGCAGCCGAGAGGTATTCAACGGCGGATTTCCACGAGCTACACACTGCAATTGGCGAACGGAAAGGATAACTTAGAGCCACTTCGTTTTCCTGGTTGATCCCAATAACATTCCTTGACTTTGAATAAAAAGGCTCTAAGTCAGCGGTCCTTAACCTGTGGGTTCCGACCCTCTTGGCCATCAAATGACCCTTTCACAGATGTCACTAAGACCACCAGAAAAAACAGGTATTTGCATTATGAGCCATAACAGCAGGAGAATTACAGTAATGAAGTAGTAACAGCAATAATTTTGTGGTTGGGGTCTATCACAACACGGGGAACTGTATTAGAGGGTCGCCGCGTTAGGAAGGCTGAGAAACGCTGCTCTACCTGGATCAGCCTACTGCTCAGACGCAAACGTGTTTAGGACCAACACAGACATTTACAGCGGATCTGAAAAAAAAAAAAGAAACCAGAATCGCCCAGCAGAGTCCAGCTACAGAGCCCGTTTATCAAGTTCAATTTCGCATCCACCAGGAATTAAAAAAAAAAAAAAAAAAAAAAAAAAAAAAAAAAGCCCATTGAAACAAGTCTGGAAACAAATGCTACTTAAAAATTGAAACCGGAAGTCAGGCATTTCAAGTGTTAATTTTTGTCTGCTCTCACAAGTCTGTGTTGACCTTGACAGAAGCTCAGATTAACCTTATTTTCTGGAAACACTTCTAAAGCTCAAGACTTGGGGAGCTAGCAGGTTGTCTGGGAAGCTCGACCAGGGCTCGCCCTTCGGCGGAGGCAGACCGGCCCCTCCCCCTCACGCCAACCTAGAGCTTTTTCTCAGTCCTCCAACTGAGATTCTGTTCCGTGAGTTGCTGCTTCATTGTGAATTTTTCTCTTAAGCCTCAATGAAGCACAGCACTTTGGGCTCTAGACTCCCAGCAGTTGTTTCGGAGACTTCTGGAAAATCATGCTTTCATAGCACTGCACCTTTTTTTTTTTTTTTTTTTTTTTTTTTTTTGCGCGTGTGCGTTTTCCTTGAGGCTTTTAGCGAACACTCAAGTTATTCCAGCAAGAGAGGTAAGTCTCACGAGGCTAAGTGGCATCAGGGCGACGTCTAGAAGGTCCTCTCCTCCCCCACCCTCCGGTATGAAGGTGTTTTACCAGTTCTCGCCCCTCCCTCCTTGACATCCGGCGCGGCCGACGTGAAGCCCCAGCCGTGAGGTGGGCTCAAGTCTGACATCATCTGCAAGGATGCATCCCGAGTGTGCACCAGAAAAGCACGCGCAGCCGGGTCCAGGTCACCGCCCCGGGGACCCAGAAACCGGGAACCGCGGTCCTGGCCTTCCCCAACCCCAAGAGACTAACCCCGGGGCGGGAGAGGGGCGCGTGCGAACGGGGACGCAGGGCGACAGGAAGCAGCGGTCGTCTCCGCGCACCTCCCGGCCAACGGGCACACGTGCGCCGCCACTCACCAGCAGTCGTGCGTGTCGGGAGCTCGCGTGGGGTGGCGGCTGCGGCGGCTGCCCCCGCGCGGCCCGCCTGGCTCGGGCATCCGTGTGGCCCCTGCAGCCCGGGCGGCGGTGGCTGCTGCGCCAGGTGCCGGCGCTTGGGGACGGTGGCACCACCAGGCTGGGAGGTGCCCGCGGGCTGGTCCGGGCCGTCCCTCCTCTGGGTTCTCCTTTGCTCGTGGCCGGACGAGCCTTCGTGCCTTGGGCTCGCTCTTCTGGCTGGCGGGACGGGCCCAGCACCTTTGCAAACCCACGCACGGCTCAGCGGCCTCCGACTCTGTGGTGGCCCCTCTCTGCCGCAGCCACGCAGGGAATAAAATGGTCACAGCGATGGTCCCGGCCTCCCTGGCCCCGGCCCCTGGGCGCCGCCTCCGCCTCTGCCTCCGCCCCCTCCTCCGTAGCCACAGCCTCCCACGTGCTGCAGAAAAACCTCTGGGGTGGCGGGTCCCTGCGGATGGCCTAGGGCCAGAGTGAAACGGTTTCCTGTGGTTTAACCCCCAGCAGACCGCATGCTCGCTGCCCAAGGTTGTACCACCTAGACCGCTCAGCGAGCCATCAACTTGGCCTAGAAGCTGGGGAATGGCTGGGCGACTCCAAAACAGGGCACACAAGCCGTGATGCAGCTGGATTTGTTGGTGTAATGGTTTCGGATATAGGGTTACATCTCGTGTGGGAATCCCATTTTGAGCTGTGACTAAGCACTCCCGCTGGGCAATACTCTTTTTTTCCCCCCACCTTCTCGAGCTAGGAAAATCCCTTTGAGCTATCAGATGGATAGCTCCTCCTTATTACCCTATTGTTACCATCATATGCAGCATCTTTGTTATGGCTCTCGGTCTGCGTCAGTCACACAGTACAGGCCCGAGTATAAAAGCTGCATCTTACGCTTTTTCCATGAATAAGACAAGTAAAATTATTTATCTATGATTTTTACTCAGTTGCAAAGTAGTAGGAGACACACTTTAAATCTGAGAGTGAGGGGGAGGGAGTGAGGGAGGGAGTCAGGAGATTCCACTCTGCTTGACATCTGTGCTGGCTGGTTAATGGAAACTTGACACATGATAGAACCATCTAAAAAGAGAGAAAACCTGATTTGAAAGAATGCCTCCACAAGACCAGGATTATAGGCAAGCCTGGAGGGTGTTTTCTTGATTACTGATGGATGCGGGAGGGCCTAGCACATCGTGGGTGCTGCCACCCCTGGGCAGGTGGTTCTGGGTGCTATAAGAAAGCCAGCGGACTGAGCAAGCTATGAGGAGCCGCGCAGTAAGCAGCACGCCTCCACCACCCTGACATCAGTTCCTGCCTCTGGATTCCTACCCCGCTCGAGTTCCTGCCTTGACATCCTTCAAGAAAGCACTGTGCTGTGGAAACGAAATAAACCCTTTCTTCTCTACGTTGATTTTGGCCATGCTGTTTTATCATAGCGACAAAAAAATCCTAACAGGCTATTTCAAAAGCTGCTTCTTTGAGGGAGCAGACCCTACCAACTTGCTAGCATTTTGAGAACACTGCTTGCTACTGATGAGACTGGGTGTCTTCTGTTGAGCTCAGGTGGGAACCCAACGCCAAGTGAGAGAAAACAAACAAACAAAAATAAAAAATAAAAAAACACAGGAGGTGTGAGGCACACTGGCTATCTTGCTTGGCCTTTCCTTTGGAAACCAAACTTGCAACCCTGCCTCTGCTGTTTGGCTCACTCTGTCTCACACTCCATCCCTTCTAAAGTGGCGCCATCCTACTGTGGTGTCAAAAATAAGCCTCCATGACCAAAGGAAGTCAAGAGGTAATGGTGTTAGGGTTTTGTTTTGTCTGGTTTGGTTTGGTTCCAAATATCAAAACTAGAAAATTTCACAAATATTCAAATATTCAATTTTTTATTTACTTGCTGTGGAAGGGATCAAACCCAGAGCCTCAAGAGTGCTAAAGATGAGGTCTACCCTTGAGCAACATCCCTAGTGCCTCAAAATTCAGATTTTTAATGTTTGTCAAAACCTGCCCTCCCGCTGTAGCTGAGTAGCAGGTGGCTGCTTTAGATTCTTCGGTTTTCCACAGCCTCAGGGCCATCACTTCTCTGTATCCATGCATTTCAATGACATTTGAAGATTTGGTAGACATTTGAGTCTGACATTCTGGATGTGATAATCTCCTTGTTTACAAGACAATCAATGTTCTAGTGATAATAGTGAATAATAATCCCATTCTATAATTCCATATGCATTGATAACAGTGTCTGATCACAGATGTTACTACCCAACAGCCAAGGTCTCTCTCTTTTTTATTTTTAAATTTTATTTATTTACTTATTTATTCATTATAATTTATTTACTTTGTATCCCTGCTGCAGCCCCCTCCCTTGTTTCCTCCCAGTCCCACTCACTATCTTTCTTCTCCCCCTATGCCCTTTCCCTAGTCCCCTGATCAAGGTCCCTCTTAAAAGAAACGTAGGGTGGTGCATACCTGTAGTTCTAAATACCTAAAATCTGAAGTGGGAGAACTATCTAAACCAAAGAGATCTTGGTCAGTGTAGCCAACAGAGAAAACCCCTGTCTCGAAACAAAAATAGCATTTGGGGCAAGATGGCTCAGAGGGTAAAGATGGCTGCTGCTATGCCTCATCAAACCTCAGTTTGATCCCTCCCACATGCTAGAAGGAAAGAAATGGAAGCTGCCCTCTCATGTACACATGCGCGCGCGCGCGCACACACACACACACACACACACACACACACACGTGAATAAATGAATATGTTGAATTAATTTTTTTTTTCATAAAAGCCAAAATGACTATGTTTTGTCCTCCTCTTTGGCAGGCAGGACACTATCATGTGACTCAAATTCAGCCAATCAGAGGCTTCAATCTGGCTTTTGAATCTAGATTTTATATTACAGAAGTTTAGAAATAGTTCCATTACCTACGATGGGGCTTTTGTGTCTAGAGACAGGAGCTTCAGAGGTGACAATGACACTGTCCTGCATAGGCAGTGCCAGTGATGTCTAAGTGGGCTGTTGGAGCAGGGAAACCTAATTTCTTTTCATTGTAAGAGATTTCATCTCAAGATTAACTAAAACCTGCAAATCTAGGGATGAAATTAAGAAAAAAGGGAGAGAGAGAGGGACCTATAAACCTACAATCCCAGCTACTCAGGAATCTGGGAGTGGATGACCTCTAGCTGAAGGCCAGGCTGGATACAGAGTAAGTTAAAGGCCAGTCTGGTGAGATCCTTTCTTCAAATAAATGATAAAAAGAGGAATTGGGGTATAGCTTAGTGGTAAAATGGTTGTTTAATATGCATGAGAATATACAGCCTAGTATACAGCCTCTAGTACAACATATATTTTAAAAAATCAAAATTAAAAAAATCATGTTAGCTGAGACTGCTTCTTCATTGACAGCCTTCTCTGTATTGCTGGTTTGGGCACAATTAAGTGAACCCACTTTGTCTCATGGTGTCATTGTCGATAAAAACTGATGGGAAAGAAATTTTTTTCTGTATGTTAACAAAAACTATAAAGTGAACATGCTCCCTGGTAATTCCATTTCCAAGAAGGAATGTATCCAGAGAGGGTCTGAGATGAGGAGTAAGAGTTTTCCGTTCATCTATTTATGACCAACTACTGGAATCACAACACTTATGGAAATTTTTAAGAACATTGAAACCACTGGTGATACAATGCTAATCAGACAAGGACGCAGAATTGCTATCCATGTAAAAACAAAACAAAACACCGCTAGGGGAGTTCGTTAAACCCTCCTCCTAAATATTCTTTAAGACAGTTATTGCTTCCTTTATATGGGATTATATCTTCAATTATTCTATAAAGTTTATGGCTTTCTTTTATTTAGGAAGGAGAATTTAGTAGCTAAAAAGTAAATGAAATTGACAGCCAGATGCTGGTGTAATCATGCTTGTCACAGTGCCTAGTTCATACGATGATACATCACAAATATTTGGGAAGAAAAAAAACAAATGAAGGGGAGGAAGAAGGAAAAACATTATATCATAAAGAGCCATGAGTTAAGGGATGCGACTTCCTTGTCCTCTGCTTTGCTGCTGGCATTTACAGAAACGGGGCATTGCACTCTAAACTGGTTCACTGAGCAACACCGTATTTCAGTATTTCCCAACTGATGACAAATGAGTCCCACTGGACATGCAATACAGCCAGATGCAGAGTTTCCCTGTCTCACAACATCAGAGATTATCTGTCCCGAGGTGTGGAACAGCCTCGGGGGGTTAGTACTCAAAACCAAGAGGTCTCTTCTTGCCTCTGGTTATAACCCAGAGGTCTGCACTAGTCAGGGAACCTGGATGCCAAGAACTTGGAGGGGTCTCTAATTTCCCTGTTTGTTGGGATCTTGTTTCTTGGAACTGGCAGTACAAAGCTAGCAGGGCTGAATCTGTATCAGTGGATGCTAAGCTGCTTATGTACGACTCCAGCAGTTTGGCGTGGGTACACAAGGTAGTGGTCTGTTGGCTCAGCCCTACGCATGGCTCCAGAATGGCTTGAACTTGGTTGTAGATGTAGAATTTTCTGCTCCAGCTTATGTTTAATGTCAAGCCTCAGGAGAAAGACAAGCACCAGCACAACCAACCGACTCTGCGCGAACACTTAAGAATATTATGTGCTCAGGAGTAACGAGAATCTTCTAAAAAGCACGTGGGTGTTCTTACAATAGTGCTTTTGCAGTCCTTTAGACTGGGTCTGGGGAGCTCGTGATATCCTTTCAGTCAACAAGCTCAAAAGGATATTCATGAAAACACAAAGGTATTAACTGACAGTTTCACCCTTGTTCTCTCATGAGCTTTCAGTAGAGAGTTCTAGGCTTGTACGTGTGGTGTTGACTCAACCTGAATGTAGATACGGACAGAAAAATCCAGCCATCTCTCAAGCTGGGCAGGAAAGAGACAGGAAACAGGGCTGGGAGTATATTCTGTTGGTAGCTTACAACCTAGCTCATGTAAGGGCTCAGGCTTGTCCCCAACCCATAACTGTGAATAAAAATAAACTCTAAAGAAACTCTGAGATTAAAAGCTTTGGAAGCCACTGATATGTGCTAAAAAAAAAAAATAATGATTTTCCATTTTCAGTTATAGCTACGGTAGCTTCAACACAGGAAGAAACTTTCAGAGCAGAAACTGTGGGCATATTCGGCATTTCTCCACACATGAGCTTTCCTTGGCTGTTCTTTTCCTGCCGCTTTAATGTCAAACAATTTTATATCTGTGACATTCCGTGTTCTTCATACCAGATGAGACTTGCGAATGTCTGGAGCTGTCTGCCTTGCTGCCACTTACAAACTGTCCTAGACCACATTTCCATGAGCTCAAGTCAAGAACTATATATAGCTCAAGTGAGGTTGAAAGTTAAATATTGAAACTTACTCTAAGAAAAAGAAAGCTTACTCTAGGAAACATTTCAATATGCAGGCAGACCCCTGGTGGAAAATGAAAATTCTTTCTTCAGCTGATACTTCCTTGACCTCTTGGATTTAGGTACATAGATATTAACATGTTAATAGTGTCTGAGT